GCATAATTACCAGGCGTTTTTGAAACACTATTTATTTTGAAAAATAAATTTAACAATTCAACAGTAACATTTTTAAATGATTATTCCGGAGCGTATGATTATCGAGTTGCATTTGTTAATCTGAAAATAAAATATTTTTTGTCAAAAAATTTTATTAACAAATAACTCGACTAAAAACGCCTGATAATAATGCACCAACACAATATATATATATATATATATATATATATATATATATATATATATATGAAGTCCTGAAGGACGAAACGCGTCACAAGTAATCTCTTTCCACTTTTTTATATATTACTATTCTTGATATATAAAATATATATCATTATCACATATGTATATCTTTATATGAAATCTTATCAAGTGATGAATGTAGAATCAACATTCATCACTTGATAAGACAGAAGAGGTGCTGAAACAAAATGGCTATTTTTGTAGTGGTTTTATAACATATTTATGTTATAATTTTTAAATAAATAATTATATTCGCTCTACTCTGTATTGAGCCTTCTTTTAAGAATAGTAATTGTTGGTTATTGAAATGTATTCCGTATACACCAATCATATACTTGGGTATATATATATATATATATATATATATATATATAAGAGACAATATATATATATAAATAGAGACAATGGAAATTTAATTAATTTTTTATCTAATTTTTCCAGCATCCTTTCATTTTTCCGTTTGGTGGGTGTAAGGGCGTGCAAAAATTGTCCGTATTGTTTATTGCCCCAATCGCTTTCATACACTTCTTTAGCCATTTTTAATGGGGCTTTGTTTAGGTCTTTTTTAATTTCTCTTCATGTTTTAACTGTTTAAGATGTATTTTTACGTTGTTTTGAGCACGGCTAGAATTCGAATGTGCGTTTTTCTACTTTTTTAAAAAAATTTCAACACCCCATTCTCACTGTTTAATAAACTTTTTTTTCAATATAATACTTTTTTTTTTTTTACTAATCTTAGATTAGTCTGATGCAAGGCCAAATATTACTGAAAGAGCTGCTTGTTGGTCATTGCATGAAGAAGCTCGCTTGTTAATCTTAGCTGCGCTTGGCGCTAGGTCATAAGAATTATTATTAGGAACCAAAATCGCCCCTTTCTAGAACGGGTCAACCAGTCTACAGTTTAAATTTCTAAGACACATAATGAAGAAAGAAGACTCGGAAAATTCAACACCCACAAGGCGTACTGACGTCAGTAAGCACAAGGGGAATCGGGTTGTAATCTATGTAACAAGCTTTTATAAATGGATGGCAGAACAGCGACTGAGAAGCGTTGCTAAATGATAAGAATTGCTAAGAGCTAATAATGATAGGAAGTAGCGGAGAGCCATGATTGGAAGTTTAACTTGCCTGACCTGCTGAAGGAGTATTACTAAGCTTAGTTTTTTTTTTCTGGAACAAGGCCACGAGTATATAATAACCTGTGACGATCGGAATAAACTACTCAGTAGAATTGAGAAATTAGTCTCGCTCGTTAACCATTACCCTATGTCTAGGCGCCCTTACTTAAATGCTGGTTAAACCGGTACAAAGTCAAATGTGTGAAGATCGAACTCGTCACACCGTATTAACTATTTGCTAGACGAGATGGTTAAGCGTTGCTACAGGGAGAGTCGCCTGGACACGCCTGCAAATTCTAACAGGCCCATTCATGTGCGTGTGTGTATGTTTTTACAGATGCGGTCAGAAGTCTATTTGAAAACAAGTTTGAAAACTGACGTATAAACCGAGAATACCGCTGATCAATGTCACTTTTGTGGGTGGAAAAGAAAGGGCGTGTCTTTTAAGAAACGATTTCCAGACATCACCCAGAGGTTTTGTGAGTCAGCGACATTACTGCCTGTCCTCGCACGCGCACCGACTCTCGACACCCTCGCGCGGGCTGGCGGTCGAGGCGCGCACGCTCGAGATCGATTCACGTGACCAGTCGCCTTCAATGGCGAATGTGAGCGAGACGATATCGCGAATCGGCGGTCGCCCATTCACACTTGGACGCATTGCAGTCTTTGTCACAGCTTTGAATGTAACACCGCGCCCTGGGATTTGTAGATGACGCTGGCCTAAGTGCGAAGATTTCTTGTATAAATATTCAATTTGCACGCTGAATAGCTTAGATACATTATGCATAGATCCCAGGCTACATAAAACACGCATTTGCACAAACATATTAACGTCGTATATGCACATATTCCGAGGTGCAAACACACATAAAATAATAATTCGATATATAAACAAACACCACTACTACTACTAGTACACACACACACACACACACACACACACACACACACACACACACACATATATATATATATATATATATATATATATATATATATATATATATACTAGCAGCATGGCCCGGCGTTGCCTGTGCTTGATTAAAAAATTGTACGACTCATTACAGCAATCGCTATCACTTGACTTAAAATATGTTTGCCTTTAAAGGAGTGTCTTTTGTCATGCTGATGTTGCTACATGCCTTAGTTCTTGCCTATCTCACACTGCTAATTTTTCTAAGCTATACACATACATACATACATACATATATATATATATATATATATATATATATATATATATATATATATATATATATATGTGTGTGTGTGTGTGTGTGTGTGTGTGTGTGTGTGTGTGTGTGTCTGTGTTAAAAAGTGGAAAAGCCGCAAACGTTTTTGGTTATAATATAGATTTTTAAATATATAATATACTTATTTATATTTTATTTTGCTACACGAGTTTTCGAGTCTTGCGACATTCATCAGGCGAAAAGTGGTTATTTCCATGTTATTTAAAGGAATTAATTTTTCCTTATATTTTCTGATCTTTAATCATTGTCTTTTGTGTGGACTTTCAAGTCTAAGAAAATTTTGATTACTGCTACACAGAAAAGACAATAGTTAAACATCGGAAAACATAAGGAAAAATTAATTCCTTTAAATAATACGTGGAAATAACCACTGTTCGCCTGATGAAGGTCACAAACCCGAAACCCGTGTAGCAAAAATATGGAAAATAAAGTATAATATATATTTAAAGAATATAATAAACATTATAACCAAAAACGTTTGCGGTCTTCTATCTACTCTTTACAATATACAATTTTCTCTCGTCTGAACAGCTTTAAGCTCTCCCTTACACACACACACACACAAACATATATATATATATATATATATATATATATATATATATATATATAGCAATAATAATAAAAATACATTTGTTCCTCACTATTTGGTACAAAACTGAATTTCACGCATATGGCAACCTCCAGGCAAAAATAGTAATTTAAGCGTTTCGCAGTTTTATATGTGAATATTTGTAAGTCACATTTATTGATAGTAGATGATAGTAGAGCAGTCTATTTGCTTAAGAAAGCAAATATGCTTACGACCATATCACGTTGAAACACCGTTTCCGGTGCAATCACTGAAGGTAAGCAACGTCGAGCCTAGTTAGTACATAGATGGCTGACCGCTTGTGAATTTCTTACGTAACCATCAGGGTAGGTAGAGACGATTGATGAGTTTAGTAAAATGTTGCAATCGTGTAAGAAAGTTATTTTTAAAAAGAGGCATGGGAAGTCGAAAGCTTGGATCATATTTCCTGTACTTTTCTTCTGAAACGAACTTCAGACGATTTCTAACGGAATTTCGTCCTGTCTTTGAATGATTATTCATAACTTGGAAAAATCGATCATTAAAATTAATCGATACAAAAATCCTTGCCGTTTTAATATATATATATATATATATATATATATATATATATATATATATATATATATATATATATATATATATATATATATATATATATATATATATATGCGTGTGTGTGTATTTAAATGTGTATGTATATAAATATATATATATATATATGAAATGTGTGTATATATATATATATATATATATATATATATATATGTATCTATCTATCTATGTATGTATATATATGCAATTTTATATATTATTTATATATTATATATATGCGGTAGTTATTGGTAGAGGTAACATATTTAGTTGGATTGGTGGGAGTTTGTGACCCTGGGTTTGTCTGACGATCGCAAATAGCGTGAAACCCAGAGTCACAAACTCACACAAATCCAACTATATATATATATATATATATATATATATATATATATATATATATATATAGCCCTGAGTAGTTCAATAGGTGTGGGATATGTATATTTTTTTATATATATATATATATATATATATATATATATATATATATATATGTATGTAGTTGGATTGTGTGAGTTTATGACCTTGGGATTCACGCTATTTGCGATCGTCAGACAAAATGATTAATTTTTAAATTTTGTATTTATATATGGATGCGTATATCGGTGTTTTTTATGGTAGTGGGAGGAGAAATTGTCGTCGGAACTCCACTCATACGTACGCAAACATACATACAAGCACCTTCACTCATTGACGTACGATGACATACATACACGCACGCTCACTCAATGGAGCTCACGCAAACATAAACATATATGAACAGTGTGGAGTGTAGTTCCGGCGACAATTTTTCCTCCCACTACCATAAAAACACCGATATACGCATCTCAGAAGACGACCAAACAGCTGTAAAGAATTACCCGAAAAATCCATCGGTGAAACTTCGTGAAATTAAAATAAAAAAAAACAAACAAGTAAGCATCAAAATAGCACTTAGAATGAAATACTAGATTCAATCCACTTGTGAACTACGGAAAGTTTTGTGATCAAACTTTTGTCTTGGTAAATGTATTTTTAATTAAGAATTTATATGTATGACTCAAACAAACATGCACTAGATGATCTACTAACGCCGTCTACGATTAATATACAACCGGATTATTTCAGTTAATCTCCTGGACTTACTAAATTAGTATTAAAATAATATTGGAAATTAGTATTTTAGTGTTATCAACTAATATTTGTCTTCAGTTGATAGTCATTGGCTTACGACCACATTACGAAACACTGGTTCATGTATGATCACCAAAGTTAAGCAACGTTGAGCCTGATCAGTACCTAGATAGGTGACCACTTGGGAATACCGGATGCTGTAAGCTTGGCTGTGCGGGCGGTTTAATGGATAATGGCTGGGGATTTTTAAACGAAAAGCCAAGTTCCAATTCCTTTTGGGTTCGTTATATTTCGTTAAACACCATTGGGAAAAGTATGCATCCAATTCTTCACCCTCGCCAGCTATGGGTTAATAAGTATGACCCGTATCAATAAATCATTTTTATCTAAAAAAAAAAAAAAGAATTATTGTAATATAAAGAATATTTTCTGTCTTTAAATAACCTGTAAAGGTTTGATAAATCGTAGTAAATAGTTTGGTTTTATTTGGTTTGTTTTACGTCATATCAACCTCAGTGGGTTATTTATTGTTGACAAGATTTTTATTGCTGGTAATATTTTTTTCCAAAAATGTACTGCTGTTATGACTGGTATTCATTTTTCCTTCAAAAATGTATTGTTGTTATTTATTCTCCAAAATCTATAGCTGGTAATAATTTGTTCCAAAAAGATATTTTTTACAAAGTGTTTCTGGTATTAAAACCTGTTTTTACACTTTCATAGAGTTTTGACACCAGTTGGAGGGTTAACTATTTACCCATAGCTGGGACCCTAACAGATGCTACCACCACGGGTCAGAATGGACCTGGGAATACCAGCAATCAAGAGGTGGTTCCACGCTCCCCAGAACCGCCTGATCAGAGGCCTTGGTGTTGGATGTAGTTTAGCATCTTACCCAGGACGTTCTTAAAAAATAAAAATGAATCGATAGTCATTGATACGTGTATGAATTGTTGGAATATTTGTGTACCCTGGTGTACTAGTGAGCCAGCCAAAATGAACTGACTCATTTTATAGTTCACCAATACAAGGGTTAACCAATCAGAAGGCTGAAAATATTCAATGCGATGTGTATAAAGGCGGCCATGTTTTTTTCCCGAATATTCACTTCCAGCCTTTGATATCGAAGACTGAAGAATTACGGAACAGCTGCTGGTGGTATTGGCGATATAGTCAGATTCAGTAGAGTGTCTGACTCGTGAGTGTTAATCTTTAACGTTGTTTCATTGAACAGATTATGTACTGCGCTGTATTCTATATTCATAGACTATGGTGAACATGGTCAACATGAATTACAATAAGTTTCAATAAAGACAGTTTAACCAACGAGATAGGGTGGTGTTTTTGTCATCAAGAATTTGATATTTGTGTTTGTTAGTGTTGTAGATACAGTTTCAAAAAGGACTGAAGATATCGGAACCAATATTTGTATTTGATTAAAAGTGAAAAAGTGCATATACTTGGTGTCATACATGTTACTATTCATCACTGAATTAAGTGCAATAACAAGGAAGGAGATTATGTTGAAAAATAAGTATTCTTGTTTAAAAATTGGTTTCTTTTCTTCATTAAACTTTAGACATTTGGATCTAACAACGTATATTCATTGATTCATTTCCGACAATGAGACCCGTGCTCGGATCTCACCTTGATTAGTCAGAAATGTGACTTGTTGATGGGGATGGCGATCCCAGGGTGAGATACTGTTAGAAAGTGCCTCGTGTTGACCCAATCCTTGTAAGTGAAATTGGGTAGACGAAATTGTTCATCGATAGTTGTGCTAACGCGAAGTCACAAGTCATCGTGACCGAGGGTTTGAACGTACTCGCCTTGTTTATGCTCGATAATGCGCTTTCTCCAAGAAACTGTAACTAAGGTCTGTTTACAATGTTAAAAGGTAAGGGTATAAAATCCACAAATCCCAAAAAGGAAAAAAGAAGCTTGAATGAAAAGTGTGATAATGCCACAAAAAACATCAGGGACTACTGAGAGTGAAAAAGATTGAGAAGACTTCAGTGAAGAGAAACTGAGGACAATAAAAGACTTTAGTAAGGGCAATAAAGGACATTAGTAAGGGCAATAAAGGACTTTAGTAAGGGCAACAAAGGACTTTAGTAAGGATAATAAAAGACTTTAGTAAGGACAATAAAGTACTTTAGTAAGGGCAATAAATGACTTTAGTAAGGACAATAAAGGACATTAGTAAGGGCAATAAATGACTTTAGTAAGGACAATAAAAGTCTTTAGTAAGGATAATAAAAAACGTTAGTGAGGACAATAAAAGACTTTAGTAAGGACAATAAAGGACTTTAGTAAGGGCAATAAAGGACTTTAGTAAGGGCAATAAAGGACTTTAGTAAGGGCAATAAAGGACTTTAGTGAGAACAATAATGGGCTTTAGTAAGGGCAATAAAAGACTTTAGCAAGGATAATAAAAGTCTTTAGTGAAGACAATAAACTACTTTAATGAGGATAATAAAAGACTTTAATAAGGACAATAAAGGACTTTAGTAAGGGCAATAAAAGACTTTATCGAGGACAATAAAAGAACAGAATTCAGAAAGACCGAAGTTGACGATTGACGTTGTATTTAAATTTATAAAGATCATAGGTGACAGGAAGTAAGAAACCGGAAATGCGTTCACCAGACAAGAAGTGCGGGAAAAGAAACTATTAGAATACAGCTTACATTTTCGTATAATTTTTCAACCGTAAACTGACGGGAACTAGGGGCCAATTGTGTAGTACACTTCAATTCATATGGTTATCCTCATTAGAACAATTACCATGAACAAATTTATAGAAAAGAAAGAGTGTAAGCCACGTCACGGCGATGGAAAAATGACTGAAGTCGAGATGCCAGGTCAGGACCGATAACGTTACAGACACTTATTTGGATTTTTTTCAAGAACCTGTAGATATAATACAGGACCTCCGTTTAGCTAATCACGGCATAAAAATTATGGAAAACATTTTTTAAATTAATCTTAATCAGAGAGTTAATTTCACATCTGAATCTGGAGTCTATCAAATAGAATGTAAACAATGACCCTATCCCAAAGTTACCGAAATTTAATGAAAAAAGAAAAAAAAAAGAAAGCTAAAATTTAAAAACACAACAGACTTGTGTGCCACCGTAGATTTCATGAACAAATTTTGACCCGAGAAACGTCATTTTAATGGAAAAGGAATATATAGGAAAGCGTATTGTATTATTCGCCTGGGATTAATATACGACCAGACTATTTCAGTTCATCTCCTGTCCTATTAGTTTTCAAACAATGTGGGATATGGAAGCACTGAAAAGAAAGAAAAAGAAAAGAAAATATTGATCGATAAACAAATGAATAAATAAATAAAAATAAGAAACTGAGTTAAAATTACTTAAATTTCCCGTAATCATTCAGTAAAAGTGATGTGTTCATATGCTTAGCATGACTCACGTTCTTTTTCACTAATAAAGATTTTGTTCATGTAAAATAAAATTCCCTTTTAGATAACACAGGTTTATCGAGAAAACATGTCAAGGTAGAAGTTTTACGTGTATCTCTATCTATAAAAGGCAGGATGTGTATGTGTGTGTGTGTGTGTGTGTGTGTGTGTGTGTGTGTGTGTGTGTGTGTGTGTAACGAATGCGCAGCCGCAATTTTCGACGGATTTGCACCAAAATTTACATGCACATGCTCCAAGTTAGCGGGATCAGCAGGACCGACTTTGCATTTCCCAACTTCCATCGCTAGTGGAAATAATCGATTTTTTTCATGCTTCTACGGCAGTTTTCATGTAGTTTGCGGCCATTTTCTACTGGCCAGAGTGAGAGCCTATAGTTGGCTGCCACGAATAGGCAGGAAGATTCTATTGGCCAGCGTGAGAGCCAACAGCTGACTGACACGAATGTTAATTAGCATGCTAGCATGCAAAAAAATCGATAGCTGCATTCGTCACAAGTGGGAAAAATTTAAATCTGTATGGCACTTTACTCCAATTGGCTCATTCGCTTGCTTAAACTCGACGTTGATTCTGATTCTGCAGAACTGGGTTGGGTGTGAAAAAGTATTTGTTGTTAACATTCTTTTTTCATTCGGTTTTTCCAGTTACGAGTCCTTTTTTAAAGCTGATCGTTTTGTATTCATTTTGTTTAGTTCTTTGTTCGTAACAGATTTAATGTTTAGAGCTTAGAAAAAATTAGCAGTGTGAGATAGGCAAGAAGTAAGGCATGTAGCAACATCAGCACGGCAAAAGGCAAGGAAAGGCAAACATATTTTAACCCAAGTGATAGTGATTGCTGTATGAGTCGTACGATTTTTTAATCAAGCACGGGCAACGCCGGGCCATGCTGCTAGTGTATATATATATATATATATATATATATATATATATATATATATATATATATATATATATATATGGGGGGTATTTAGGTAGCTATCCTTCTTTTATGCATATTTCATTGAATACGATGGGCAAGGTGCTTTGATTTAGTTTTTTATACAATTTTTCATGTGATCTAATAATTTTGTTTTTCTTTTCGGATGATAAATTATATAAAAACTGTCCAATTTTTCTTTTTATCCGAGGGCTTTCGGCTATTACCATTTAGTTATTTTCAAGCATGAAATATATTAACTGTTAACAAGAAATAGATTGTTGTATGTATGTATTTATATATTTCATTTTCAAAAAACGGTCAAGATATTGTGTCCATGTTCATCGTTTATATTATTAAGTGGTTTTTTTTTTTGCTTTTATTAATAAGGATTCCATTATTTTTAGCATTTTTTGCATGCAGATGATGCTATTATATTTGTGTTGCTAACAAGTATGTTTGACACGAAGTCCCACACTCTAGATTTCTGTCCATAGCTTAATTAGGTCTCATTAAATTAATCATGGAGACCTACAGGACCCTATTCGCATCATTCTTGTTGACAACACAAATATAATAGCATTATCTACCTGTAAAAAAGGGCTAAAAAATAACGGAAGCCTTATTAGTGAACATGATAGCATACACTAATCGTTTTTGTGCAGACTCTCTTTACATATAGAGATCCTTTAGGGCTTATGAAAAGTGAAGAAAGAAGAAAACCGGGTTTTTTGCCATTTTTTTAAGTTTTAATGTTTTTAGATTATAAAAAGAAATCATTGTGTTTTTATATTCCAATGAAAGATCAATTATTCAAACTCAGAAAAAAAAATACCGG